TACATTCAATGTACTGATGCCAGTTGGCCTGCATCGTCTTATGATGTAGACACAGGTAACCAGGATCAGTATCCAGCGCCTCGTTGATTCAGCTTGAGCACTCAGAGTCTGTGGTGAGCCTCCTTGTATTCTGAGGACTCCTTTATTTGCTTTCTAGTCTTTCAGATGTTAGGATGATCGCGGGTCCTGTCCCGACATCCCTCTTTGTTTTAGAGGCTTCATAGACAGTCAGTTACTAATTCTTTAGTCTTCTCATTTTATCTTATGTTAAGACTTGGGTTGCCATTTTGGCCAAGTCTAATGTTTAATTCTTCTAACATTCTAAGTTATATTATTAAGCTATTTGAGTAAGTTCAATTGATCATGTAATCATGTTTAGAGTCTTCCGCTGAGTTAAGTAAGCCAGGCCAAGGGTTCGCTTGGGGCCAGCAATGGTTCTCGAGTGCTAGTCCCACCTACGGTGTAGACTCGGGTCGTGAAAAACTTGGTATCAGAGTACAGAGTTCAAGAGTCCTAGGGAGTCTATGAAGTCGTGTCTATAGAGTCCTAGTTATCGGTGTGAAGCGCGCCATATCTATAATTAGGAGGCTGCAACATTTAGGAACTATCTCACTTCTTTCATATTCATTTCGTGCGATAAATTTAATCTCTATAAAAGTTTCCTTCTAATTCGTGCTTGCGCGTGTTTCAGATAATCATGCCTCTACGAAGAGCAGTCAGTGGTCATCCAGCTAGGAGGAACGTTGAGGGACAAGAGTTACCCAATGCACCTGAAGTGCAACCTCAAGGAGAAGTCACTAATGTTGAGTTCAGAGAGGCTATAAGAATGCTCAGTCAAGTTGTGACTAACCAAGCTGGGCAGCAGAGAGGAGCTCGACAAGAAGAGGCTGACACTTCAAGGATTCGTGAGTTCTTGAGGATGAACCCTCCAAGTTTCACGGGTTCCAGCACTGCAAAGGATTCAGAGAACTTCATTGAGAAACTGAAAAAGGTGTTCGATGTGATGCATGTTACTGATACTATGAGAGTTGAGCTAGCTGCATATCAGATGAAAAATGTTGCTAAGACCTGGTTTGATCAGTGGAAAGTGGGTAGAGCTGAGGATGCACCACCTGCGAGTTGGGCCCGTTTTGAGAAAGCTTGCTTGTGGCATTTCTTTCACAGGGAACTGAAAGAGGCCAAGGTACGTGAGTTCCTCACACTTAAGCAGGATTCTCTAAGTGTTCATGAATATGGGTTGAAGTTCAAAATTCTGTAAAATACTGGATAGCTCAAAACTGAACATGCAAACTGAGAATGCAACAATTAATCTGATAATGATGCATTAATAACTGAGGCATGTATAACTGAATAACTGAGATATCTGACCTAGCATGTCTAATTCAAGAACTAAAGAAATACATAGCTAGGGTACTGAAATTCATGCGAGAAACGATGTAATAACCTGATAATCTGATTTAGAACATGTTAATAACTAATTCATGATGATCTGTTGTAATTCTAGAAACCCTAGGTCTATTCATAATAAGGGAATCAAGAAACTGACTGAATTCTAGGGACCCAATGGGTGAAAGGAACCCACTAGTGAAATCCCACATACTTGGTGACGAATTCCACGGAGAAATCTTTCGATTTCGGGGCTGATAAGAAACCTTACTGCATTTTTCAACTAGAGTTCTTGACTTCTCTTCTCCTCTTACGCTCTAATTTTCTATGTTTTGATTAATGATCTGACCTTCGGAGATGGTTAAGGACATGAGAAGTAGAATAAGCTTGTTCGTTGCTGGGTTGGGCCGTCTATCAAGCAAAGAGGGTCGGGCAGCAATGCTTATTGGGGATATGTACATTTCGAGGTTGATGATTTATATGCAGCAGGTTGAAGAAGAGAAACTGAGAGACAGGGAAGAATTCAGAAATAAGAAAGCGAAGATAGGGAATGAGTATGGGCAGCAGAAGGTTAGTGTAAATCGTCTGTCCTTTCAGAAGTAAAAGGAACCGGCACCATCATCTGCTAGTGCATTTGCACCCAGAAACAAATATGAGTATAATTGCCAGAATTCGTAGAACTTTAGAGCTAGACCTGCACAATCTCAAGGTAGTGTGGCTCAATGAGGTAACTGGGCTCCTGCATGTGCTAAGTGTGGTAGGATCCACCCAGGTAAGTGTCGTGATGGCCAGACAAGTTGTTTCAAGTGTGGGCAAGAGGGTCATTTCTTGAAGGAGTGTCTTAAGAACAAGCAAAGTAGTGGAAATCAGGGCAATAGAGCTCAATCTTCATTAGTTGCTCCACCAGACAAGGCTGCACCTAGGGGAGCTACTTTCAGTACTAACGGAGGGGCAAACCTCCTCTGTGCGATCATAAGTCGCCAAGAGCAAGAGAACTCTCCAGATGTTGTTATTGGTATGATCAAAGTCTTTACTTTTGATGTTTATGCTTTGCTAGACCCAGGAGCAAGTTTATCTTTTGTAACCCTTTATGTTGTAAATAAGTTTGATGTTTTGTGAACCCTTTTGTGTTTCTACACCTGTTGGGGAGTCTATTCTAGCTGAGCGAGTTTATCGTGATTGTGTTATTTCCATCAATCACAAAGACACCATGGCTGATCTAGTTGAGTTAGACATGGTAGATTTTGATGTCATTTTAGGTATTGACTGACTTCATGCCTGTTATGCATTAATAGATTGTAGAACAGGAGTAGTCAAGTTTCAGATTACCAATGAACCAGTCATAGAGTGGAGTAGTAGTTCCACTACAAAAAGAAACAACATTTAGCGACAAACAATATTATGTCACTAAATAACGACGGATTAGCTATGAAAAACTAATTTGGTTGTTAAAATATCAAAGGAAATATTGGGATCTTCAATAGTGACGGATTAGCGACGAAAATTGAAATGTGTCGGTAAAATTGGTCGCCTTAATTTGCCTACGAAAATAGCGACGTATGGCGGATGACAAAATTGATAATCTGTTAGTGACAGATTTAACGACGGAAATATTTGTCGCTAGTGTTATTTTATTTCTTGCTACAAAAATTTTGGTCGTTGGCTAATTTCTTTAAAATTATATAGAAATATTTAGCGATAGAACGCATATCCGTCGCTAAAAGCATCGCTAAATTTTACCCAAAATTTTTAGGGCTCCAATATTTCCCTCTCAACGTAACACTTTTCCCTCGTTTTCACAGACAAAACCTCTCATCGCTCCCCACCTACTCACCGTGAAAATGCAAAAATCTTAGTCTGTGAGAGTGAGAGACGTCTCTCACATAGAGGAACCTCCTATCGCTCCCCACCCACTCGCTGACCCACCCACCCACTCAGTGAGAAAACTCATTGTGAAGTGAAAGCTTGTCGATTTTGGAAGAAGTTGAGTTTGATGAAGTGAAAGATCAAAATTTCACAAATTTAGGTAAGTGTTCTTTAAATTTTAGCTCTATTTTGTTTCTCTTTTGCCTATAGAACAACAATTTAGCAATAAGCTCTATTTTGTTTGAAATGTAAGAATTCGTCTTCTTTTTTTTCTTCTGTTTGTAACATTTTGATTCATCCTCTTGTATGCTCTATTTTCTGTTTGTAACAATGATTTTGATGTTTTCTAAGATTCAGTCTCTATAAGTGAATACCCATATTTTTTTCTTGTATCGACAACATGATTGATTCATCGTTGCTGGACATCAGGTGTTGTTGCTTGGAAGTTGCTTCATCATTGCTTGAAATCAAGTGTTGCTGCATCATTATTGGAAACTTTTCGCTGCTGCTTTGAGACTACTTCATAGTTGCTGAAAACTTGTCGCTACTACTTGGACACTGCTTCATCGTTGCTGGTTTATCAAAGGGTAATTTTAACTCCGAAACCTCATATTTCTTTGTAAATCAAAATGTATTGTTTTTCTACATTTTCAATTTTCTTCACAGATTTGATATTTTATTTATAGATTTGGCTAAATCTCAAAGAAATTTAAGGTAAAGTCTTTGAAGATTTGTTTAGGTAAAGTCTTTAAACTCAAGTAAGTCTATTTTATTTATATATTTCATTGTATCTCTATCCTATATGCTTTTCTTTTCTTATTACTTTTCTATTCATATGTATTTCTTCTGTCAATAATTTATATATATTGTATTTGAACTCAACCAAGATGTCGTATATGATTTTGTGTTCCTCTTCTTCATTTGATTGTCGTTGCCTTTCATTACCTTTTACTTGAGTAATTGGTCGAATTGTCCAACTGTTGCAAGTTTAAGAATTATGGTTTAATACAGTAAAATTTGTTTTTAATGTGGGTTTGGGTTAAAGTTGTTAACAAGTTATTGACGAAAATCTTAAGAATCACGACTATATATAAACTTTCTTGCTTGCCTTTTATTTATTTTGTTGTATTATTTCTTTATATAAAAATCAAACATTTAATTGAAAATCTCTATCACCAAAATTGTATGAGTCGAAAAAATCTCTTCCTCTTTGATTACAAGCAAAAGCATAATAGGTTCTGTATAACTACAACCTTTTATTCCTTCAGAACCTGTTGACTAAATGGTTTATAAAACGAATTCGTGTTGCGTTCTAACATGTTTTGTGTTCTATTGATGTTTTAAATCTTTGTTGACACTTTTGCTTGTCTTTTTTTTTTGTGGTTTCGATTGTTTTTGCTAAACTATTATGTTATTGCTTTAGTTCTAATTTTTTGGATAACTCTAGTTGTCTTGTTTATTTTAACATTAAATAGGAGTATGAATAATCTAAAACGTAGTTGGATGTATGAGAGGTTGGATGGCCGAGGGGCTATTAATTCTAATTTTATAATTGGTGTCAATGACTTTCTCAAGTTTGCATGTTCTCACAGAAATCACATGAGTGGTGACGAAATTAGATGTCCATGTAAAAAATGTCACAACATTAATTACATGGATATTGAAATTGTTAAACTGCACTTTTTTCGTTTTGAATTTGTTGAGAACTATTTTGTTTGGAAGTATCAAGGGGAAAAAGAAGTGATTAGATGTCTAGTGATTTACCAGGTGGTACTCAACCTGGATTGGGAGATAATCCATATCGCCAAATGGTTTTGGATGCGGCTGGATCAAATTTTGGCAAGGGTTCATCTTCGCAGTGTTATAGAAATATCAAACATGAGTCACCTTATCATTATGAACCTTTAATGGAGGAAGTTCCTGATCTTTCAATGGAAGAGGAACCTAATCCTGATTCACAAAGGTTTTATGATTTGCTACAATCAGCTGATAGAGAATTGTATCCTGGTTCTTCCTTCTCTCAGCTCGCATTAGTTTCTAGGATGTTAAATATCAAAATGGAGAACACTTTGTCACAGAGGGGTTATAATCAAATGATGCAACTATTTAAAGAGGCTTTACCTGAAGCTAATCATGTGTTGGATAATTATTGTCATACCAAGAAGCTAGTATGTAGCTTGGGTTTACCTGTTAAAAAGATTGATTGTTGTAATTCAGGATGTATATTGTATTGGGATGATGATAAAGATCTAACATCTTGTAAGTTTTGTGGCTATGAGAGGTATAAACGCCATGTTGGTTCTCGTAAGAGAAAAATTGGTTCCTTACAAGGAATGTATTATTTTCCTCTTATTCCTAGACTAGATTGCGAAGATTATATGCGTCTCGTGCTACAGCTGCCGACATGAGATGGTATCATGAGCATATACAAAAAAAGAGGGTAATGCGTCATCCATCAGACTCTGAGGCTTGGAAGCACTTTAATGAAACTCATTCTTTTTTCGCTGATGAACCAATGAATGTGAGGTTAGGGTTATGTGCTGATGATTTTCAACCATTTGCTCAATCGGGAAGAAAATACTCTTCTTGGCCAGTGATTGTTTCTCCATACAATTTACCTCCAAGAATGTGTATGAAAGAAGCTTACATGTTCTTAACTATCATTGTTCCAGGGCCACACAATCATAATCAAAAAATTGATGTTTATCTACAACCTCTAAAAAAAGAATTAACTTTGTTGTGGGAGACAGGTGTAGAAGCATTTGAAATCTTAAAAAGAATTTTTTTTAATTAAGAGCAGCTTTGATGTGGACTATCAATGACTTTCCAGCATATTCTATGCTATCAGGATGGAGTACCAGTGGCAATTTAGCATGCCCTTATTGTATGGATGAACCACAATCCTTCAGATTACATTATGGTGGGAAAACAACTTGGTTTGACAGTCATATGATGTTTCTTGATCAAAACCATCCATTTAGGAAAGATCGTAAAAACTTTCTTAAAGGTCATACTGTTACAAGATCGTCACCACCTGTTAGAACGGGACAAGAAATTCTTAATCATATCTGTGAGTTGGGGATAACGAAGGTAACTGATTTAGATGTTGAAGAAGTTAATAAGAGATTATGTAAGTCCTGTGGTTGGAAAAAACGAAGCATCTTTTGGGATTTGCCTTATTGGAGTTCTAATATGATACGACATAATCTTGATGTCATGCATATTGAGAAGAATGTGTTTGATAATGTATTTAGTACAGTTCTTAATGTTGATGGCAAAACCAAAAATGATCCCAAAGCACGTCAGGATGTTGCAAAATACTGCGATTGGTCACAGTTAGCAAGAAATCCTGATGGAAGTTATCCCAAGGCTGCATAATCAATAGACAAGAATGAAAAAAAGGTTTTGTTTGATTGGTTGGAAGGTGTGAAGTTTCCAGATGGGTATGTTTCAAATATGAGTCGATGCCTTGACATTCACAATTTTAAGTTATTTGGGATGAAAAGTCATGATTATCATGTGTTCATGCAACGACTATTGCCAATTTCCTTTCGTGAGCAACTTCCTAGTGATGTGTGGCAAGCACTTACAGAGTTGAGTTTATTTTTTAAAGATCTAACTTCAACTGTTCTTCGAAAGGTGGACTCCGAGAGATTAGAGGTACACATCCCACAAATTTTGTGTAAGTTAGAACGAATATTCCTTCCTGGATTCCTTAACTCAATGGAACATTTACCCATGCACCTTCTATATGAAGCAAAAATTGCTGGACCTGTACGTTATAGATGGATGTATCCTTTTGAGAGGTAAATATAAAATATTTATGCAGTTTTATAGTGTCAATATGCTAGTTCAATATGATAATTTAATTTCTTACATATATAGGTACCTTCGAACTCTTAAAAATATGATAGGCAACAAAGCTAGTGTTGAGGGATCTATTTGTGAAGCATACTTGATGGGTGAATCGACACAATTATTTTCTCATTATTTTGAACCTCATGTTATGTCACGTCATCATAATGTGTCCCGTAATGATGATGGTGGTGTTATGAAAGATGTTGAAGAAAATTTATCAATATTCACCCATCCAGGAAGGTTATCGGGTGAAGCCAAAAAGAGAGATTTCTCTCTTGAGGAAATTAAGGCTGCCCAAACTTATATTCTTCTAAATTGTCAAGAGGTTGAGCCATTTGTGAGGTAACATTTTAAGGTTATACTTCTTTCATATAATAAATTTGCCCATATATTATGAATTTATTTTTGACTTATTTTGTTGCAATGAAGCATGTATGTGCAACGTTTGCAAGAAGAGTTTCCGAATCTATCTCAAGATCAAATAGATGAGAGTCTTGAAACATATTTTTCTGTATGGTTCAAGGAATATGTAAACCTAATTAAATAATCAGTATCTTTTAAAATATAATGTGTCGAATTGTCTTGTGAATTAGACTAAATCTTATCATATTTTTTTAAAATAGGTTCGATCCAACCATATTGAAAATGAATACTTGCGTAGTCTTGCACATGGACCATTAATAAGCGTGTATTCTTATCCAGTGTGTTTTGTTAATGGATACAAATTTCACACAGTACATCGCGATATTGCAAGATCAATAATGAATAGTGGAGTTTGTATCTCTGATCCAAATACGGGTGATTACTATGGAAGGATTCAAGAAATTATGCAAGTGGAATACCGTAGAGCACCTTTAAAGCAAGTTATGTTATTCAAGTGTGAATGGTTTGATCCAGCATTAAATATTGGTGTTAAGGTGCATAATCAGTATAAATTGGACGATGTTAATCATCATCGCCGATTTAAAAGATATGAACTTTTTATTCTTGCGATGCAAGAAACTCAAGGGTGTTATATGTCTTATCCTAGCACAAAGAAGGACAATGATGATTGGTTAGTTGTATTAAAAGTCAACCCTCGAGATGTCATTGAATTACTTGATGAGGGAGTGATCACAATACTAGAACCAAATCTTCCATTTCAAGTTGAAGAAGTTGAAGTTCATGAGATAGTTATGAATATTACTATTGATGAAACTATATGATAGTTATGAATATTACTGTTGATGAAACTATACTTCTGCATGATCCAAATGGGAAGGCAATTGAAATAGATGAACCAATTGATGATGGATTGTTTCCAGAGCATCATGAATTAGATGAAGAATTTACAGAAGACGAGTATGAAACTGAGAATGAATCTGAAGAGGATGATGAGGAGTTCGAAGAAGAAATAGATACATACTAGTGTATTCATAGTAATGTGCTACAGTGTCTTTAATGACGTTTGTTTATAGTAATATGTTTTGGATGCAATTTGTTTCTTGTGGAAAAACAGTGCTTACTAATTGTTGTATCTTTTGTGTGCTTTGTAACTCTAATTTCTTAAAGCTAGTAGTATGTTTTTGTGTATGACATGCTTCAACTTTGGTTGAAATTTTTCTAAATGTACCTCATTTTTAGCAAGAGCAGGTAAACTCAAGAAATAAGATAGTTGTTTATATAGTTGGAAGGCATTCTCAAACTTCTGTTTTTCCTACTTCTGGACATTCTCAAGTTCAGTTTGGTCCATGACATGTGTGAAAGAATCTGAATATTTCTTAAAAGAGAGAAATTCTTTAACTCAGATTTGATAAATATGATTAACTTTGTTTTTTTTTTTGTAGATATGACATGAGGCAGAGGTCGAGGTAACACAAGTCATGCAAGCAAGATGTCAATTGGAGGTCGAGGTAGCACAAGTCGAGTTAATATGCCTACTGTTCCTAATCCCATAACTATTCTCAACAAGGTGGTATTAGTTCTTCTAGTGGACCAAATAATATTATTCAAGTTCAGACATTAGTTCCTACTATTTCGCCTCATGTTCAAAGATCAGATTATGGTAGTACCCCATCAGTTCATCTTGAACAAGCCCTTGTAATACCTAATATGAGTAATGCAATAGGTGAGGGTGCATCTACTGATCAGAGAAACGTAATATGTGACTCTATATATAGTCAAAACAACACAATAGGTGAAGGTGTGAGCAATAGTAACACTGGACAACAGACACTTGTTTTTCTGTCTGCTGTTGGGTTAGTGTGTGCTTGCACTATTATTATTAATATTCTGTGAATTTCTGTATCAAAGAGTTCATATAATATATTCAATTTTTTCAGGTTGGAACCTTCAAGTACTTTCTCTAACCGAATATGTGAGTCTTTTAAGAGTGAGCTTGATCCCAAGGGAACTAATTGGAAAAGTGTCCCACAAGAAACAAAAGATTTTTATCTAGGGGAATTTGAGGTATAATATTTCAGCATTTTAATTAAAAAGGTTCATCAGTTTTATAGTTTGGATACTGACGTTGTTATTTATAAAACTATTTCAGAAGGAATTCTATTGGGATCCTTCCATTGATAGTGAAGTGAAGATACAATGGTGAAGGAAGGCAGCGAGAAGGTACAATGATTTCATTTCTGGCTTAAAAAAAAAGGAAAACGGCCAAAATATATTTAAGAAGAAATATGGGAAAGTTGGATGAGTATTTGGAAGAAACCTGAGGTTATTGAAAATTCAAAAATAAATTCAAGAAATTGTTGTGGCGATCAGAATGCAGTTGCCAAAGGAACTCACACGGGAGGCTCAATTACCATTGGAGAGCATCATAAAAGACTTGTAAGTATATTTTCACGCACCCTTCATTTACTTGTGTCACAGTGACTATTTTCAATTGAGTTAGCGTTCAAGTTTTATCTCTAAGGATTTTCTAGAATTTTGTGAACAAGAAAAAACATTTGTTAATGTCGATGTAGTGCTGATGTAGATGTGTCTCCTAGCTAACCTTACTTTGTTATGAACTAACAAATATGGTCTCGAATTACACTATACCATGCTTTTATATTTTCATGTACTTTAAATTTTTTTTCTTGTATAGGCTATTAAAAATGGTCGCGATCCAACGCCAAGTGAGATACATTTGCATGTACATACACATGGTCATGATGGAAAATCTTTTGTTGGTGAACGAGCTCGAATCGTGCATGTAAGTTCAATATTCTTACTGCTGATCCCAAGGTGCTTTCTAATCTCTTCATTTGTGGTTGGTGTTATTAGTTTCAATTGTTGTGTTCTTTTCAATCTTGGTCCACTGCTCATTATATCTCTTCTTACTATTGATAATACATGAGTTGATGATCCTAGTAATGCCTATATCTTTTCTTACTTTTCAAATAGATTAGGAGAATGGTTAACATTGGATGACCTGGTTTTCTCCATTCCCTTATGATTATTGGCATGAAGCTTTTATGATCTGCTAAGTGGTTGAAAAATCTAAAGGTTCTTGCCCCTTTTGGTGACATCTCTTCAAAAGGGAATGGAGATTTCTTGTGAACTCGATTTCTAATTTTATATTGTTATTGTGTTTATTTTATACAAATCTAGATAAAATGCTTTATCTCAATCTAGCAAACATTCCCCTTTTCGAGCTTCATTGTTATTGTCGGTATTGATTTTGATTGGAATAAGTTGTAGGTGCTTCCCCTTTATTTTCGTTCTAGTTTCTGTTATTTTTATTTTTATTTTTATTGGAACACAATTGATCAGAGTAGCTAGACATTGTAATTGTTTCCCAAGGAATGCAATTGTTTTCTGGCGTTCTGAAAACCTGTCAGCAACCACTGCTAAATCCTCCTACTAATGACAAAGTTCACATACTGTTATTAATTTTCTTCTTTTTTATTCACATCGATGTATCTATACAGGAAGGATAAATAACACAAGATAGGTTGAGAAAAAGAACTATCTGTTTTATTTTCAGTTCAGCATTTGAACCTTAGCTTCCTGGGCTCTTTTACGAAGCTCATTTATCTTTTTTTATGCTTTCCAACTGCTCCTTGTTGTTGTTTGAGTGCTCAAATCCCTTTCTATAATCTTTATTTTCAGTTCAATTTTGAGAGTTGTGTTTTCCTTCTCTAGACACTTAAGCTTGACAAAGATATCAGGATCAGTAGAAGTAGGCGTTGTAGTTGTTTCTCAAGTGCAGTTTTTTCAGATCTCAATTAATTTTTCTCAATTTCAATCTATTAAGAAGATCATAATTTAAACATGTACTAGAATTCATATTTTTGTATTTGATGGAAAAAGATAATATACTAGGTCCATAGTTAAAGATAAGCCTCCGTCTCATCATTTAAACTAGAAGTAGACTTTGCAATCAAAGCTTCTCCTTCCATAGAAATCTTGCTTTCCACCTTCCAATCCAATCCTGGACTGAGCCAGCCACACAATCTGGCGACTCCACCAATCATGGCATATTTCTAGTGTCATTGCTGCTAGGACCATAACAGAAGATACCTGTAAGTTTTCCTGCAACATAC